CTCAAGTCTTTGACTCGTTTTTGACCCATATGGTATCGGAATCATAATAAATGGAACAAAGTCACCTGGTATAATCCCGATGGGAGCAGTGTCCAATTGCAGACATCAAGACGCCGCTCACCAAACGCTGCGTTAACGCCGCGTATCTTACGCTGTCACTGGACGCCAATGTACTCCGGCTTGAATTGGGACCACGTCATGTCTTCATTTGCTGCTTCAGATAGCGATTCAGTTCGAAGTAGCTGCCTCAACGTTAGCCACGTTGTATCTTCACTACAGAGTAGCTAGCTATGTATAGCTAAGCACTTCCAATCTTGCAGCACTATCTTCTTCGTCGCATTTGCATGTAGGTAGTTCTTCACGAACCGGCTCCGATAATTTTAACATTTTCAATAATCCCGGTCCATCCCACTTCTGATGTAGGATCAGGGTCCGACATTATTTGAAAATAAAACAAAGAGCTTCACACAATCACTTAGTTTATTTCGATTAAATGAACTTACTTTCACATTAATTTTTAATTATAATAATTGAATAATTCAGCACTGATTATATAAAGGAAACACTCAAATAAAACCAACAATAAAATTACTCAGCGATTGCGTAACGTGTGAACTGGGCAACGATCGACGAACGACTGACTCGAGCTTGCGCTTGCGCTGCTTTATATATCTCTCGGTGTTGGGGTTGATGTGACGTCGGTCAGTTGTTTGTTCACTGCTCGCCCATTACATTCGCAGTTTACAAAATAATGACGGCCGCGCCGACATATATAACACGTATAACACGTATATAACATAATTAAATGTAACCCCTTCTGAAGTCGTGAATGTGCAATACCCGTACTGTAACTCGAGTTGAATCAAAACATACAAGGCATCATCTCATATTCAGTGGTACATTTAGGAAGTTAAGTATATGTATATGTACTGTTCTATACTATCGTTGTTGTCTAAGTACTACATATTAATATAAATAGAGAACAATTCCTATATAACTGCGTAATTGTAATATGGCCCTTTTCTGTAAATATTTATGCATATAGGTAAAAGCATTGTATGTTACAATATGTTTACATTAAAAAGGATTATATTTATGTACCAGTAATGAGTATGTATGTCTACTTATTGGTATGTACCTATATACGGTTGACTTTTGATTGCAATTAATAGATAATGATTTTAATAATAACGTTGTTTTTGATCGCGTTTCTGAGAATATGCTCGTAAAAGTCCATTTTAAGTACTTATAAATACTAAATAGAACTTTCACTGATGAATGTTTTATAAATTATCTTCCATATTGCATTATAAATCAACTTTATCATTATTGACAACTGTGTCTGGAAATAGAGATAAAAAGATAGAGGCAGACGTATTGAAGCATCGATTTATAATTTCAGTAGAATTTAATGTTTTTCTTCTATATATTCAAATGTTGGTTATATTCTGTCTTTAAGGTTATCACTATCACTATATAGTATAAAGCAAAGTCTGTCCCTATGTATGCTTAGATCTTTGAAACTACGCAACGGATTTTGATGCGGTTTTAATAAATAGAGTGATTCTTAAGTAAAGTTTATATGTATAATATATATATGAAGCCTAGGCGGGTCGCTAGTTAGGTATAAATCTTTAATTACATTTGAGTCAGATTGAGATGTCACCCATATTTTAAACGTTTTACTGTGTATCATAAAATAAAGATTTTTAGTGTACCATGAATCGATCGGTCTGGTCAATAATATGACTTCAATCATCCCACACAATACTTCAATTCTAGAGTCACATGTTATCGAAGTGATAGACAGATTTATCGATACTATTTTATCGAACATACAGACGACACGTTTTTATGAATAAAGGGATTACTATCTAGACATTCGTATCTCTATCATGAGTTGTATGTCGATAATTTGAAGACATATGTTCTAACTGTCATAACTATTACACGTGTCGATAAACTCAATGTTTTAATGTAACATTTGACCTCTTTGCCACCAAATATCAAAATAAACATGACAAATAATCTCGCGCCTACTAATTTTGATGGTTACCGAGAATCGCGCGTTCATAAAAAGTCGTATCTCTTTGATATTTATTGGTATTCATGCAATATATGTTATCAAAAATAAGCTATCTCATCTTTACGTGAATGACGTCAAAGTTCCCTACAGGACTATTATCACTGGGCCGGGACTTCGAATATTTTTTGTAAAGATTGTGAAAGCCGTTGAGTTACATAAATCGAATTCGACTTCAGACAAGTTTAGTAGATAAGTGGGGTAAGAACAAGCGTATTATGTGTCATATTACGTTACATACGAACTCTGTGGACATAAAAACGATTTGTTTAGTAGACAAATTACATCATATCTTGTAGAAAAGGTATTAGTACAAAAAGATATACATATTTTATAGTTTCAGTCTTACTTTCGACGTCTAGTTATTACAATTGCGGCTATAAAGACACGGATTTTGGCTATGAATATTGTAGTACAACACGATACCAAAGACGAATTTTTTCCCATAATATAAAAGTGTAGCTAACATCAACTAGATCAAAAATCAGTAGCTACTTATACCTATCAAAACATGACTGCCATTAGTATGAAAACATGAGTTGCGAAAATTATTCATACCTATCTCAAGTGACCATATACAACGTAGTAATCAAATGTATGAAGCGCTTCACTGAAATACGATCAACCCGAAGCCGAAATCATATCAAGGGTAATCTTATCAAGAAATCACTTCACCGACAAGGTGTGATATCATCGATCGAAAATGAATATAGACATATTATTTATCTGCTCCATTTACCTCTATTTATTCCCATAAGATAAATTTTTCCTTAAAAGTATTCGAGTTATGGGTGAAGTCTGTACCGTTGACTTGTAAGGTCGTGCCTGGGTAGGCACCCTTATGGGATCTTTATAGCGCCACCAACTGCGAAGAAGGGTGAGAAGGGCATCACACAATTTTGCGAAAAGTTAAACTTTGTGGCTTTATTACTTCTTGTTCTATCTTCATGCTCTGCATCAAATTGTTGGCCCGTTCACATCAATACTACAAAATATTATTTCTATAGATGTCACCTCGCTAAAACTATTTTGGAATTTGTCAGAGCACGCTAACTTACGTGTTGGTTTGCCTTTATATATTTCTAAATACAATTTGATTTAATATTTCTTTATGTGCTATTAATATGGCTGCCAAGAACACATTTTATGTATCTGTATATAATTGTATATTCTCATTCAGATCTAGACCAGTATTTAATAATGAGTTTGAGTCTAGGAAGATTGATACATCAGTATTCATAGATAAAATCTCGGCTACTACATAGCATTAATGATAAGTCAACCACTTAAACTAGTCCTTCAAATAATATAACCATAAGTACTTTACGAAGGAGTAATCTATAATAAATGAGGGTCTAAACATGATTTATTATTAATAGCTATAACAAAATTGATGTACCGTTTGGCTTTGATAGAAATAAGCTACGATATTTGGCGCACCATCTTCCATGTAAAAGGGAAATTTAGATATTAAATCAACAAGGGTTCCTGATTCTGAAATCAACAATTTAGCATTCCCATCCACTTAAAGTTAATTTTCTTCTATTTTTCTACTCCTGTTATACTTAGCTTTCTTATTATAATATCAATACAATCAAGTTATAAGTATCTACAAACAAATCATGCTGATTAGATGTAATTAAGTACATAAAGACGTTTGTTCAAGAATTTTCTCTTTTCTCTGGAAGACTATTTATTATAATTAGGTATTGATAATGGCTTAATATTTTTGTACTTATGTAACAAAAAGTTAATAAAGTTCTGATAGTATAGTGGAGCCGTTCAATAGACGCTACTATTTATTATTCAAGCATTTATTTGTTAATTGCTTTCTAAGATACGTAATGCATATTTAATGAATAAGTCGTTAACTATCTCTCGGTTGAGCTAAGTCCTGTTATTATTCGAAGAAATATTAATCATTGAGCCCCATACTTTTTTTTTTTTGAGGGGGGGAAATCATCTAATAGCTTCAACTCTGGGGTGAGGCGAGAGGTAGTGTCAGACTTTTACTGACTAGAAACCACGCCGTTCCTACTCCTGCATTTCGAGCCAGAGCCCCGGCAACCCGTTAAGTCCTCCGCGGGTTCGTATCGGCATCAGTCCTATTGGGACGCATCTGTGGTAGTCTGATGGGTCTTTGAAGCCCGCGCGGACCGCGACGCGCCGTATTGAACCCCATACTGAACTCTATAGTCTCTAAACATAAAAACTGAGACTAAATTTTGGCTTAACAACTGCCTAAAATTCTTAATACAGCTATACAAAAACAAAAACATATTTCAAACTCAAAACAAAAAAAAACAAATGGTAAGAAAAACATCAATCCTTAAAAAACGGTCTTTAAGTCCGTCCACACATCACACACATCTTACTCAAAGAAACACATTATAACGAAAACTCGTAGATTCCATCAATTCTGAGAACCGAAATACTATCTTGAATCGTACTCAGTGATAAATAGTTCTTTTTCAAAGTAAATCCTCGGTGGCGCCAGACAGACCCTTTCGATCGTGAACTTTGAAAGAATGACGTCACACAAAATGGATGCCAACAGAATATGAAATCCCAAAATACTTGTCATCATAAAGTACCAGTTACGGTTATTCGAAAAGAGGTTTCAATAATTGAGTTACGTAACATAACATATTATTTATTTTATATCTGATTCTTGTTTTGGTCTTATAGTTGCAAAAATTACAACATTTGTCTGAATTTATGTTATTATCTATGATGTTATGAAATATCACACCTGTTTGCTTTAAAAGAGTAAACAGATGTGTATAAATAAAAATAGATTCACACAACAATACCCAGGTAACTAATCATAAAACCAATCTTTGGGTATTATCATAATATGCCATATGGAATCTTACGAGTACTTTAGCATTCTAAAATTCACTTTCTTTTGTTTCAGATAAAATATCGGAAAGTAAAGAAAATGTTTTGCGTGCACTGGAATACATCGATATTTGACACAGAGGTCTTAAATCGCAGATAGACACAAGAACCATGGTCTATGACCACACATAGAATTTAATAATTATAATTATTTCTATTATCTCTTCCTCAATCGCTTCCCCTGCATTTTAAGTAACAATTTACATATTATAGAAATATTTATTATTGAGTTTACCTCAATAAATTAATAATAAAAAGCACATAATAAATCACGAACATATCTTAGCGACAATATTCTTAAATAGCATACAATATATTTTTAATAAAAGCTGATTTTAAAGGAATAAATCAATATTTAGAAAGTTTCAAAGGAATCATATCAAGTGAAGCCTTAGGGTCTATATTAGTTACCGTGCCAAAGAGAGTTGTATAAGCTTGGTACTGCAAGATGTCTCACGGAGTGGTTCAGAAGAATGAGAAGAACGGCAACGGTGCGCAGGCGCTGGACTCGCCGCAGCACAGCACGGACAGCCCGCCACCCCCTCCCGATGGGGGATGGGGATGGATGGTGGTCTTCGCGTCTTTCATGATCCACATTGTCAGTAAGTACATTGTTTATTACGTTTTTTGTACTTAATTAATAATAATAATTACACCCTTTAGATATTCAGTCTTACTTAACCAATCAATTGCTGTTAAAAGTGTTGAGAAATTAATTACAGATTAACTGGATCGTTCTGTGCTATGTATATCAATCAATTAATTTATTTTCTGATGGGCCTTAAATATTAATTTTGTGAGAAATGAAGCTTACTATGTTAGTCCATTATGAATATTTTAGCTTCGACGTCAAGCAGTATACCATATTCTAATTGAATAAGTTAAAGTAAAAATAAAAATCTCAGAATAATCCTCAACTAATCATATAGATAACAAACAGATTAATAAACTCGTTTTCGTTATGAACTATATGATCAATTCAGTGTATTAGCAACCCTGGCCTATGTTTATCAAAGTATTCATTGCCCTTTAATCCCCACACAACAAAACTAAGCCTTCATAGATACCTTTTGTACAGCAATTAATAGTTCGCTCAATTAACTCTATGAATAATAACTTAGAAACCTAAACAATATCTTAACTTAAATGTATATGAATAAAGTGTTAATTCCGACTGGCAAAACTTCTGTAAACCTCAGTAGGTATTATTCTAGTTCCTAGGTACTACGTTAATTGCTACTTAGACCCACGGTTTAGGTCCAAACATAAAGAAAAGCTTTATTATTCAAAAACATTATTAACCTTTCCGATAGATTTTTCCAATTATACAGCATAAAGCTAATAATACTACCTCTAACTACAGACAGATTTTACACTAGTAAAGAACAAAGAAAATAGAAACTATCTTGAGTTTTCCTTTATCCGTTTACCGATGGAACAGTTACTCTAGCAAACCTAATACATTTTTTACTATGTTTGATTTCTATCGATTTCGTCTTTTTCACCCGATTTCCAAAACCACTGCTAACGAAATAAAACATTCAAAACATTGTCTGAGTTACGCTTTTGTCTTAGAACAATAGTATTTATCGAATTATTTATTTATATGATTCTGAAATCTACTTACAATATTTGAACAGCTGTGTAACACATTATTCATGTAGCGTCTACAACAAAATTAGTGGTAGTTTTTCTACAAAATATATTTTCATTCTGGTATACAATTTTCACCGAATTTACAAGCGTTGTCTCTATTCTACAGGCATTGAATTGAAACATATCTTTGTAACATGTGCATTTATGTAACCAAACAGTATTTAATCAAAATAAAAAAATAGAAAAGTATTGTTTGATTATTTGATTCTCGACAATTCTCAGTAAAAACGCGAGTCCAACGCTCGAGTTTCTCATTACACTGATTGAGTGAGTGTTGCAATTCTGTCTTCGGGAATAACAACGTGTGATGTTATCACATTATGTTATCCTATTAATCTATTCTCCGTTCAATATCCAGGTGAATCACTTCTCTGGCATGTTGGCACCTGCGTCTATTTACATTGCCGAATAGCCCACTGATATGTAGGTGACAGACATTCTCAATGCTTAAATACAACTGCATTCGCCTTTTTAAACTCGTTCTAGCAAACTTACTTATAACGTAAATGGGTTAAATCTCTTTTAATAGGGTAGATGCCTAATTTTTATTTTAATGTCCGTCTGGTAGATTATTTTAAATCATTAGCTACTTATTTTTTATTTTCTTACAGTAACGAATACTTTTGACGATATATTGATTTGAAATGTCGCTTGACGTCAATTCTATGTACATTTTATACGTAGAAAAGAAAAGAAAAAATAATGATTTAAAATAATCTACCAGACAGACAATAAAATAAAAAAAATAGGTATCTACCCTATTGTAGGTAAATCTAAGTACCTAAGTACATATACAGTATGTTAGGTTAAACGAGGGACATATTCAAACCCATAATAGTGTATACTCACATGAACCTAACAAACATATAAACGAAACGAAAACACTAATAAATAACAGACAGAACCATAAAAACGCTTCCGCTTACGCTTACGGGTTTCGGCTTAGCGGGCTTAAGCGCGCTCTATTCTTTTTGGCAAGATCGGCGCATGATTTGCAACGCGAGTTACTTTATGTACTTACTTGTTTCTGTTTACAAGTTCACTTGTTGCGCGCTCAGTGTTCATGATGATGTATTTTATTAGACAATTACCTCAAAAATTTTGGTTATAGGTTTTTTACATATTCGGGACGAGAATCGAATACTGAATACCCTCCCTCAATAAGTCCCTCGTTTAACCTAACACACTGTATACATATACAATGACTGAATATATTAATAGATGACTTATCTATACACAGAATCAATAGAATAAATGCCTTGTGTTCACAAATAATGGCAATTGAGCACCAGGTCAAGGATGCCATCCCTTGGTCGGACAAAGTATTGCATTTTTCACCATTGGAATTCTCATTAAAAAGTACGGAGCCGGGGAGAGTGTCCGACTCGCCCCCTATTACGATGAACCCAACCCAAACATTACTGGCGTGGTGTAAAAATGGCAGGACTCTTGGAAATAACAGACATACTATTGCCCATTTCTGGAATACAAAATAACATTAATTAGACCAACCAACAACTGTTGAAGAGCAATTCACGTGCCTCAAAAATGAACTCAATGACGACGCACCAACTTAAACCTTATACTGTAAACAATAAACATAGTAATTGCGTTTGAAACAAAATGTTAATGTTGATACACAAATAAAGATTACACAAATATAGTACTTGTATCACTGTTTAATTTAACATCACTCAACTGTCTAGTGTTTACCAAACTATATGATAACAGCTTCTGAGATATGCTGCAAATATTTATGATTCTGATATAATTTGATGTCCCTGATTGCGGAGACTGCTTATCTCAAATTACAATAAAAATAAACTTAATTTTAGACTCATTAGTACTACTGTACCGAACCAAATTGCTGGTAAATTGGAGCAATCCTTTATAACTGGGGTCAAAGGTTTTGGTGTCAATTTTGGGTTAATTGTAATAATATTTGTAGCAACTAATAAGTATTTATTCAGAATTTTAACTTGAATTCGTAATTTTAACTAGTAACCTAAGTTAGATCGCCTTTTGTGTTTTAATTTGCGTCTTAAAAGCGAGCAAACTTAAATGTTTCTATTGTTCGTTGTGAGGTGTCGAATTTGTTGTCCAATCGTTATACGAGAAAGACAGATGAGATCGTGAATAATGTTTACCTATACCTACTTGCAGTCTTGCTAAAATATACAGTAATTATGACTATACAAAATGTTTTTTTACATATGGAGCTCTTTATATTTACCCCTATGTTCCCTCAATATATGAAAAGATTTTTAATGATCTCGTTCAATCCTCTTACTTTAGAGCCTTTTGAAGTTGGTGGCATTTTGCCATTTTGCAAACCTATTACTACACTAAATTAGACACTAGTTCGCTATTGTCTCTCGTCCGCAAACCACCAACTGGTTAAACAGTCTCTATGCATATTATGTATCCATTAGTTTTTGATAACTAAAGGCTTGTAAATCTAACCAAATAATCAAGTGTCATGTACTCAGTAGGTACATGACACTCGATAACATTTAGTAAATCTAAACCAAAAACGTCACAAAAAAAGGTCATATATTTTTCCGAAAAACCAATTGTTTCCACCCACACGTCGACTCAGTACCGTTAGTGTTGTCCTTTATTTCCCGGCCCCGGGATTTATTCTGCGTGACGTGTCAACGTTCATATTTATAGTTCCGACACCTACTTCACGGTTCATCCCTTTGCAAATAAATAATAGGGCCGTGGCTATGAATGTGACTCACTCATTTACTCTAGTGCTCTCTAAGTCTAACTGATCTAGACTGACTTGTAAAGGGGACGTGAAACATTGCTGTTTAAATTCTCTCAAATAGTATTCTATTCAAATTCGTCTGTTTCCACTTACTCCCAAAGGTGTTCGTTTTATCTTAATTATTAATTCGCTCGTGAAGTCATCGAATGTTTCGTTTTCAATTCGTCTTTTGTTCTCTAATCCTTCGAATGTTTTATTCAATGATCGCTTTAAATGAAAAGTAACCATGAACAGTCAAAATTCATTTATTGTGCGTTTATTTTAAGTACCTATACATTTTATTTGTATCTAACAATAAATACTTATAATATTTTATTTAGTAAATTTGTTAAATTAGCACACTCATTTTCTTACGTAGGTATCATCAGTGAATAACATTGAACATTGTCCTATCAGAATATAGTTAAAACGAATTGTTTACTTATTCCATGGATATTTGTCGCATCATTTTCGTAATAAATATTTGAACAAAGGCACAATAAGAGTATTAATTTTGTCATGTTACAGTTTGACAATAAACAGTCGCTACTTGTTTAGGCTCTATTTATCAACGGCTCAGAGTACGTACGTATATAATTGTTTACAAAAGATATGTACATCATACATTGTATTATGTATTATATACATACAATTTTAATACACGTGTATCCTCCGTCGCCTCATCAGACAAATATTCGCAATCACGACTGTCGATGTCGGGTAGAAGGGTCCAAAGATATATGTAGTCTAGAATTTGGAAACTATATTTACAAATCTAGGTCATGATCTGGTTTTGAAATCCATATTAATATAACGTAAATTATTATCACCTGTACGGTGTACGGCAATAGAATCATCCTCTACCTATAAAATGGGTCTCATATTGGCGAAAAATAAGCATTCTATATTACAAGACACGCTATAACTTTCTTCAACATAAGAAAAAAAAATGACGTGGTTTCATATACTCATACACTACTACTATATCTCTCACATAGATAAGCATTCCTCAGGTTTCGGAAGCCAGTCTTCAATGAATAAAGAGTCGCGAATGAACCGAGTTTCGCATGACAACGACAATGATATGACACGGATTATGACGACACTTCCGGTCGTATGACAGATAATTTGAGCCATCAGGAGACGTAAATGAGGACCCCCTTTTATCTGAGTAGATCTGGCCATTTACAGTGG